ATAAACATTTATAAAAGAGCGAAACGATATTCGTCATCGTGGTTACACCATTCGCCCATATTCCTCGAGAATTGCTAATGATCGCGATTCTACGAGGAAGGTCGAAACTTCGCAATTCGAAACGGTTGAAGTTTCACGAGAGACTTTAGCCTCCTGAGAATACTCGTTTCCTATTTTCCACCTGCGATTCTTTCCAAGACCATATTAGGACACTCCCATTCTGCTTTAGCTAGATTTAAATCAGAACTCATTCGATGTCTACATTATAAATGAAAGGCCTAAAATCCTTTCCTTTACCATCAACCTTCGAATAAACATTCGATCAGTGATAAATCGGCTAACCTAAAAATAACATCGACATTCGTCCTGAAATAGTAACCATACCTCCCAAAGCGATATTAACCACTTTCATTCGCGATAAATAATCCCAATTAAAAACACCAGGTACTTTCATTCCCGAAAAAGGCCAACACCATTTACATGTTTCAAAGATCCCACGCGAAGCGCCAACCCGATACTCTCGCTGACCAATATTCCACTTCTCATCTTCCTCCACTTTTCACCAACCCTAATCACCTTCTCCAGTGTCCCACTCCCTCATTCTGTCCAATTACAACCTCGATCTCTGTCATCTTCTCTCATTCCAAACACTAGACGACCCTGGGACCATGTCGATAACGACTCGATTCCAAGGTTTGAGGTTAGGTTCGAGCTAGACTCGGCCTCTAGCTTCTCAGCAGCTCCGTTCATCCGATTCGCGAGACACGAGTGAACTTTCGATCCTCTGGGTTCGCTGGTTCGTTAGAATCGTAATCTGGAACGTTGTAAAGGTTGTCCTTGGTCGCAAAAGGATCGAAACGTCCCCTTTCATGACCGAGCGTCGCAGACACGGGTGAAATCGACCGATCCAGATTCGTTTTTCGAGCGGCCAAAGAGGGCCGTGAAGGAACAGCCGGAGAAAGGGATGAGGGGCCGGAGAATCGGGATCAGGACTGCGATCTCGAGAGATCGTATTGTCGGACTCGAACAAGTGGCGCACTTGAAACTTGCGTTATTAGTGAAAGTCTCGGGCGCTTGAATATCGTCGAAGGCTGGACTCGCGTGTTTCCATAAAGCAACGCGGAGGGATAAAAGGTCGCTCAGGGGTTGGGTCGGCTGATCTTTCAGACACGGTTCGTGTTTGTTGGATCGCGTTGTTTCAGAAGAGTTCTCGTGAATATTTCGTACACAGGGAAGTTTCTTTTGTGACAGGTTAACTCGAAGTTTGTGACGCTTGATACTCTGGGTCTTTTAATTTAGGCCTCTTAATGTGGATCTCGGTAGATCTATATTCCTCGACGAATTATAGGGTTTTGTATATGTATGGTCAAAAATCGATAAAGAAATATAGGAAAAAGGGGAAAGAAAAATACCTCGGGTATTAGAGATTGGTAGATCAGGAGCCTCAGGAGGTCCCTATTCTTTGACAAATTATAGTGTTTTATGTATATATAGGCTGAAATTAATAGGAAATGGGACAGAAAATGTATAAGGAAAAATCCTTGACTATAGTGTTTTATAATGTATAGGAAACTATATTGTTTCATATTATATGGAACTATAAAAGCTATATTTTATATTATATAAAACTATGTATAATTAGATATTAAAACTAGAGTGTTTTGTATATATATAGAAAGAAATCGATGGGAAATATAACAGAAAATATATAAGGAAAAATCTACGACTATAGTGTTTACTATATAGTTTATACTACAATAGTTTCATACTACTAATACACTATAACGTATAGGAAACTATAGTATTTCATATTATATGGAACTATATAAACTATATTTCATATTATATGAAACTATATACTATACATATTAAAACTATAGTGTTTTATATGTGTGTAGAAAGAAATCGATGGGAAATATAACAGAAAAGGAAAGAAAAATACTTTCAGTATTGGAGATTGGTAGATTAGGATATTTTAGACGACCTCGGTCTCAGGAGGTCCATGTTCTCCATCAAATCGTAGCAATTCATCGACTAGAGATCGACGTGGATCAGAGATCAGAAGAATATTCAGGAAAAAATATTTCGAATGTCGAAAATTCTTCCTTTCTTCTTTTTCTTCTTCGTGACAATTGTTAAACTTAATATCCTATATTGATGTAATTAATATGGGCTCCAGAGTGATTAAGTCGTCTTCTCTAAGATTGAAAACCACCCTATAATAAAAAAGGAAGAGAAGTACTTCGAACATCAAAGATTCGTAGATATTTGATAGACTGGAGATGAAGATTCTTTGTGACAGTCATTAAGTTTAATGTCACGTAGTAATATAGGTCGTTGGAGGGTTGGGTCGATCTTCCTTTCACGCTTCACCTTCTCCACAGAATCGCTTCGTCGATTGAAAACTGACGTGTCACAGAGAAGAAAGGGAAACAGTATCTAGTGAAGTATTTCAAATGAAAATTCCCAGATATTGGAAATATTGGAAATGGAAGTTCTTTCCGACGATTATCAAATCCGCGTATCCATCACGGTATACTTCTCCCTCAGATGGATCCTGATGGATCGCAGTCTTGCAACCGTGGAAGATGAGTTCTGCAGTTCGGTTCAGCTGTCCATCAATTCGTAAAGACTATAGCAAGTGTCTATGCCGCGTTATTAACAACGCCGGATGAAAAACCTGTTTCTGTGTTACTTTAAACGCTTTTTAGTCACTTGGAGGTTCGAATAATTAACCCATGATACAAGAGAATGATGAAATCATGGGGAACTATGCTACTAGCCGATTCACAACGGATCTATTTCTATACTCGGACCTCTTTCTATAGCATCGCGACATGTTTCTGGTTTTTATTAAATATTTCCAGTATGCCGGTCACGTAGTACCATGTTCTTGACCAATTCGCGAAGGACATGTTCGTGAAACATCTTAAACGCTTCTAATCCATCTGAAGTCTCGAATACAAAGTCCTGGATCTGGTCAAAAATTATGATACCCAAATTGAATAATAACTCAGAAGCAGTCCAGATGTTTCAAAATTGACAAACTATCGAAGTTATTCAGTCGTCAAATACTAATTGAAGAACCTCAAAATTAACACAGTTGATTACGCGAGTATCAACCCTTTGCACTCGATGATTTTTTGGCTAAAGAAGAGTAGAAAATCAAAGACTCTCTACTGAAAAACTGACAATACGTTTTCGAGTAGTAAATAAAGAATTGTATAATAATAGAATTGTAGAATGATTTCGATACCTCGCACACTGTTACATTACGTTAACACTAGAACTACCGACCTTTAATGGGCACCTAACTATAACGTGCACAGATTATAGTTAATTTCAGCGGTACGATGAATATGAGTGAATGTAATGATTACAGTTCTCTCTTAATATGAGTTGGTACCAATTTTATTCTTAAAACAGGCGTATATGTTCGGTGATTGCAAAAAGGAAAATTCTGGGACCAGTCGTTTTGACTGGGTTGGTAGGTCTAGTGTTAAATTTGATATATTGATTAATATCGATCTTCCAAATTTTATGAAATGGTGACTGAAGATCACCTCTCTAGTGCAAAGGGTTAAAATTAGTTATTAACTTTCTCTCGCTTTATTTTTCTCTTATTAACGAAATTCACGAGAAAACATCGACGCATGAATACTTTGATGAATTTTACACAGAAACTGTCATGTCACCGGCTGTTATTTTATAATCCAATCTTCAAAATCACTTTCACACGCAATATTTTATATCGCCCTGGGTTTCACAAATTGAAACAGAGAATCCAAGTGCAATGACGAGTTAACTCGCCACCGGTCAACAACGTGTTAAGTGACCAATGCTACGTAATGAAATCACAAATCAAAGTCTTCATTGGAGAGATAAGCGTGAACAAAGACCCTGATTAAATTAACTTAAAATTTGATTGGGAAATTTCGATATTGAGGAATTATTAATTTACGCGAGTGAAACATGAAGAGAATTAATCAGACAACGGGACGACAAGTTGCCAGCCTGCTCTGGCCCAATCATCGAAATATCAAACAAAACGTCAACATATTGATCCCCTGACGCTTCAATTTCACGAGGGAACATCGTTCTCCTAAATGAAAACCGTAATCAGTCCATACACCGTGTTTCTCTTCAATTTTTTACCCTGCATATTTGCCCATGCAAATATTGGAAATATCGGCGCAGGAAGTTAAATACGGAAAACACCGCAAACACGGTGAAACAGCGGAGAGAACAAACACGAACCAGCTACTCCCTTCTCCCTTTCTAACCATTCCCTCCCTGCTTTTTCTCCTTTCTCGTCTTTTTTAAAGCAGCCACTACATAGTAGCGGCGCGAATAAATAAATCATCTTCGTTCTCTGGTGTGATTTCAGGGCTCCGAGGCAGAATAAAGAATCACGGAAACGAACGTGATCGGTCATGCTCGGTGGCTTCGTGTAAGAATAACGAAGGAATAGCCGTCCCGTGGTTCCATGGACGCGTTTGGCCGGAGAAAAGCCGTCTCTTTTTCCATCTCCCGTCTGGTTCACGACAATCGGCCATCGGGCGATCGATGGCCGTCTTTTTCTTGTCAGCCGGTCATTACAATGATAATGGATCAGCCTGTTTCCCGGGACGTCGCGCCTTGATGGACCAGTGTGTATATAACCGTGCTTCGACTCACCAAAATCAGACGTTTCGGTCACTCTGCTACGCTCTTCAAAGCCTCGGCGCTGTCTGGCCTAATCTGTAACAGATAAACGAATTAAAAGTGGCGCGAATAAAGCAGAATATCGAGACTCGAATTCGCACGATAGATAGATAAGATAAGACAGATACTTTTGCGAAATAGCCTAAAGTGTTTATACGTGATACCTCGACGATGGTACTATTCCTAGTGTCGAGAGATTCTGTAAACAGAGACGCGTGTTGTGAATCGAGTGTAGGGTTCAGATAGATCACCAGTACCTGAGACACCAAAAGAGACTCGACGACATGGGCCTAAAGATGGCTAGTTGGATGGATCGAGCGATCATCCTGTTCGCTATCCTACTTCACTGTGATTCCACGACAGGGTACAACGTCCTGCTAGCCACCATGGGCGGTACCAAGTCGCACACGGTTCCATTCGTCGCATTGGGCACTAGTCTGAAGGCACGGGGTCATAACGTGACGCTACTGAGCGCATTTCCGGGACCAGCGGCGAACAACGGACTGCAGGAGTTCGTTCCGCCAATCTTCGAGGTAATTAGCGGTTTCCCAGCATTGTCGAAGGATCAAAGGGTTCCCTCGGGGAAATTCGAACGAGGCCACTGAGTTCGCTATTTAGCCGATACCGCGTAAACGGTGGTAAGTGGTCCGGGGATCGACAGGTAGCCAGATTTCACGATCCCCGAAGGAAATCGGCTCCATTAGACTCGGTGCTTCTGTCCCCGTTTAATTGTAAAGGGTAAGCTGATCAGGGAGCTCTTAGAGAGTAACAGAAAACGTTTCCGAGCATGCTTCGACCCTTTCGAGGATGGCTCCAGATCCAGGTTGTAAACTGGAAGTTTATTAGATTATGAGGATGCAGCGTGCCGGAAGTAGCGAGCTGGTTATAAAAGAGACTGGACGCGAATTGATTCGTGTTTGTAACGCGAGCAAACAGCTGCTGAATTATAGATCGCGGAAACACGAGTCGGATAGCTTGGGGAATTTGATGGCCGCTGGCGTGCCTTGGACAGAGAAACTTCTCGTTTCACCGGGAAACTGTTGTACAGGCTGACAAGGGTATAAAGGGTCCAAATCTTCTATGGCAAATGTCTGTCCTAGATATCCCTAGCAATTTATGAGATAGACCTAAACCGGGTTGAAGATTCGACCATTTCCAAACTATAACTAAATTCGAGTATTAGTTACATAAGCGACTCGTCCTATTGTACTGGATAACAAGCAAAAATAAAGGGTCCAAATCTTCTATGGCAAATGTCTGTCCTGGATATCCCTAGCAATTTATGAAATAGACCTAGACCAGGCTGAAGATTCAACCGTTTCCAAAGTACAGATAAATTCGAGTATTAGTTACATAAGCGACTCGTCCTGTTGTACAGACTGATACGGGAATAAAGGGTACAAATCTTCTATGGCAAATGTCTGTCATAGATATCCCTAGCAATTTATGAAATAGACCTAGACCAAGTTGAAAATTCGACCATATCCAAACTATAGATAAATTCGAGTATTAGTTACATGAGCGACTCGTCCTGTTGTACTGGATAACAAGCAAAAATAAAGGGTCCAAATCTTCTATGACAAATGTCTATCCTAGATATCCCTAGCAATTTATAAAATAGACCTAGACCAGGCTGAAGATTCAATCGTTTCCAAAATACAGATAAATTCGAGTATCAGTTATATAAGCGACTCGTCCATTTGCATAAACTTCGAATTTTCTATCTCTTTATTCTCGTGTCACCATATACCTGGCTTGAAATATGCTAATATTTTATAATTCTTCGAGGTATTATTCAAGAATCTGCGACACGTTGTCCACGGGATGATCGTCAAAGAGGGTGATGATAGAATATTTCACGAGGAGACTGGTTTTGGGAGAGTTTTTAGAGCGTTTTCATCATCGACAGGCTTACGTCGGGAATTACACGTCAGAATGGGACCTGGTCGGGGCAAGGTTCCGAGACGAAATGCCCATCTCACCGTGGGATGCAATGCGATATGCCTGGGAGGCCTGCGAGGCTCTTCTTCGCGACGAATTATCGGTATCTTGGCTGAGAAGACCCGAAGGTGATCCTCATGCTCGATGGGACATCGCGGTCGTGGACGGGGCCTTTCCCGAGTGCCTTCTCGGGGTCCTTCATGGGGAAGATGTACCCACTATTATGCTGAACACGGTAACAATTCGCTTCTTAATTACCGTATAATCTTCGTCGATATCAACACGTTCTATATTGATACTAATCGACGATACTAATTTCCTTAATATCTAAAAGCGGTACTTATCTTCAATCCCATAAGCTCAGCAACCTAGCGAATCTCCAAAATGTCGATTACAGTAAATGAGACTCAAGCAACTAGCAAAGTTAGGTCCATGTAGCACACCTAATCTGATTACCCATTCCCTTCGACAAAGAGAATATTCTTCATCGACGTTAAGCCTATGGCAATACCAATTACCCGTCACTGGACATTTTATACAGGTGGCCTTGTACAGCGGCTCCATGAGTCGCCAAGGGAACCCATCGCCATGGTCTGTCACACCGTACTTCGGCAAATCCCTGACACAGGACATGAACTTCCTTCAAAGGATTTTGAACGCCGCCTGCCTCGTTACCCTGAGGATAATGCACTGGATCATGATCAGCGGATATCTTCAACCGGTTCTGAGGAAGTATCTAGGTATATCCTTTATTCTCCACTGATTTCCTAGCTGATGATTTCCTTTTTCTGGAAGAATCTCGTCCCACAGGGAACCAGTTGCCAGACGTACGAGATCTGACCACGGAGATTCCCCTGACATTGCAGAACAGTCATTACAGCGTGGCTGACTCGGTGCCTTACTTGGCCAACGTGGTGAACGTCGCATGCCTCCATTGCAAGCCTGCGACTCAGCTGAGTCCCGATTTGGAGAGCTTCTTGCAACGCGGTGAGTCGATATTCTAAGTCGAGTGGTGTTGTTAGTAGAAAATTACGTTGATTCCTTCGATCCGCTGGAGAAAGTGGAGACAAGGAAGGCGCGTCGAAGGGTATTTAGCGTTTCTCTGCCGTGGGAAGCTCGGCAGAGTTCGAGTTCCAATTTTCGCAGTCTCCGTGTTTCGCAGTCGCAGCCTCTGTTAACAAAGAGGATTATAAATGCGCGTTATTGATCGTGATTTCATATAACCTGATACATGATGTAACGCAGTCTACAACCTAGATTCTAGAATATGAAGAATGGTCGTCTCAGGTTTCTCGAGTTCCGATCGATAACGGATACAATAGATCAGATCATAGGATGTAAATTGGAAGTTAAATATTCTCTCGAATTGCGTAACGGGGATTTCCATGTCTCGCATTCGATATTAGATCGTCGATCTGCAACGTGTGTCTGAATACAGCGTCGACAGGTAATATAAAGTCTGGTAATAAAGTAGCGTGAGGGAAATAAATAGAAACGTATCATTACGCCTCTATCTGAATGAAAGTTAGCATTGATTCTATCAGAAACAGTCATTCTATCCTCAACCCATTCCCTTACAATGACGAGTCTGACTCGTGACGAAGATTTTGGTCCAAACATGAATATCACGAGTGAGACTCGTGAACAGAATATTTTTCTAAATATAGTTTTGAAAGTGTCATCTATTATAAAATATAATATATTTATAATATTTGTAAAAGGAAAAAGGATTAGAGTTTACTTCCGCAACAGTAGTATCGCGTAAAACTGACTGTATCACACGTATTTACATTTCGGCTAGTATTGCGACTGTTTTCGAGTATGAGTCTGGTTTATTTGATGCCTACCATTTGGGCCCAGACTTCGTCGAGCTAAATAGCACGGGAAGGGGTTAATACGGGGCACTGATATCCTTTTGAAACAATTATACCATTTTTACTGATGATGACTGAATAAAAGAAAACAGGAATAGGACCTAAATAGACAATACTCTAGTATTAAATGATAAAAGTATAGGAGAAGTATGAAAAGTAACTAAAACCCGAATATCCCGCGAATAGACCCAAGCTTCGAGTAGCCATAACGGATGAGGAACAGCGGAGAAGAAACCTCTTAGGACCAATCTCTCCTCTCTGTAACTATCGTTTCTTCGACAAACAATCCATCCCGCAATGGACCATGTTCAGACCATGTCTAATTCATCTCTAATACTAGTTCATCATAATCAAAACGTGTCGTAGGTTTCATCTTCGTTTCCATGGGATCGTCGGTCCGCGCGTCGGGCATGCCAGAGGCGCTGCGTCAAATCTTTGTGGCAGCCTTCGCCACACTCCCGTACAACGTCGTGTGGAAATGGGAAGGCATGAAGATCAAAGATCTGCCATCGAACGTCAGAACGGCGGCATGGTGGCCGCAGCAAGAGCTGCTGGGCCACCCCAAGCTTCGAGCCTTCGTCTCGCACGGTGGACTTCTGTCTCTGCACGAGGCCGCTTATCATGGCGCCCCTACCCTCGTCTTGCCGGTCTTCTGCGACCATGATGGAAACGCGGCTCAAGCTGGTGAGTTCCTAAAATTTTTAACTTTATCTGGACCTAACTTATCAAGTTCATCCACGAGGAATAGAGATCAATTCTTTTTATAAATAGAAGGGATGAAAATATGAAATGAATCAGTGTATTTCGTGCTTCGTCTCATTACATAATGAGCAGTGATCGGATCGATACCAATTATGACGATTAACCCTTTCGCTAAGGGGGGTATGGCAGTGAAATCTCTTCCTCCGTGGAACGAAGCGTCGTGCTAATGATGGAAATGCTACGATCGTGAAGTCTTTAGCATTCGAGGCCAAGTCTTTCGAAGGAAAACAAAGAAGGAAAGATCGATCATCGCGATAGAGCTTGCAATTCTTGGCGAAGAGAGCTAAGGGGAACGGTAGCACTTGTCTTAATTTTTACTCAATTTTTGTGGCCGGTGACTATAGTCACCAAAAATAGCGAAAGGATTAATATTCAATCAGTTGATTGAAATTTGATGTTTCTTCAATCGATGTCTATTTGATACCCAGGTTTCTGATATCGGTGAGTATCAATTTGGTATCAGTCCGACCACGAATCGTGAGTTTCAAGATGGAGAGTTGGTCGATGAGGAAAAAGAATTATGCAGATAATCCTTCGAGAGATATTATAGGGTTCTAGGCTTCTAGGGCCATGGATACCTCTTCTCAATCGATACGTAAAATTTGTGACGAGAGTAATCGAATAATCTTTTCAACGAAAAGCTGAAAGGATTCTAAGGAAGATTAGTTTTTCGAAGAGTAGAGGTCAAAGAGGTTTAAAGAGTGACTTTTGCAGAAAAATTGGGCTACGCCCTGGTGATGGACCTGGCGAGACTGTCCATCGGGAGTCTTCGAGAAGGAATCCTCAAGGTAACTGCAGTGCACAACAATTCGTATCGAACAGCAGCTAAGAAGAGGAGTACATTGCTACGAGAGTTGCCAATCAACCCTAGAAAATTGGCTACCTGGTGGGTGGAACACGTTGCAAAGCACAAGGGAGCTGAACATTTGAAAAGTTCTACGAGGTACGATGAAGTTCTTCCAAGAAACCTATGTATGAACCTTAAGTATACTTCATTAACGATATCAATTTGTTCTAGGTACATGGGTGTTATTCACTATTATTCCATTGACGTGGCAATATTTTACGTGATAACATTGATACTACTAGTTTGCGGGTTGAAGAAATTGTGCTGGAGAACTATATCAAAACAAGCTGTTAAAAAGAAAATCGACTAGACTGAATTATTTGGTGTCGTAGGTCGTCTGTAAAGCTATTATGTATTTATTTCATACGTCTAACGCCTCCTATGGTATCTGTATTTTATCGACTCTCAACGTCGACCGTATAAAAATCGTACGATTATAATAAAACTATTTTCTTAAAAACATAACAGCTATGTTCATCATTTCTATCGTGATTAAAATAAAAATGTAAAATTTTTGTACACGCTAACAGAAACAATTAAAAAGGAAAATTATTAATCCAGGTGAAAATGCAGGAAATGATAGTACCAACGGAAAATAAAAACTAGGTACAACAGATTTCTACATTATCTATCGCTGTTGTAGCAGACCACGGAGTGCATTTGAAATCTTAAGTACACATCATTTGCGCATGTGTAGATCAAACGATTCATAAATTCGTGTTTCAAACTGACAATTTACTCTATCGAAAAATGTATTAAAACAATAAAATACGACAATAAAATAAAAACGTTGTACGATTCATTGACGAAAAAAAGAAGATAAAGGTTATGAAACTTCGTACGCAATATTCGTAGAGTTATTGGTAAATATATAGTTGTTTGCAAATATGCGAAACAAACTATTCTTCTTTGTTTACATATATTAGAGAATGTAATTTTCGTAAGTTGGTAGGTATGCCTGGTAAGAGAGTGTGGAATCCTCGAGTTGGTATGAGTGTGTAATGTTTGATTGTCTGGTTTGTAACGGAAAGAAAGACAGAGTGAACACGTGCGTCGCAAGAAACGGAAGCCCCAGCATGTGCAAAAAAATTGAGTTAACAAAGAGTTGCGGCTTCCTTATCCATCACTTAAATAACGTAATTTTGATTTAATTTTTTCCCTTCCTCACATTTTACTTTCGTTAATCAAATAAACGTAATCGTTAATCTAAGTGGCGTCGATTCTACCTGGATCCTATTAAACACGAAAAGAATAACAACAAGAATTATGTAACCTTGAAAAAAAAAAGTAAATAAAAATCACACCATAAACAAATTAATCTAAGACTTTTGTATCACGTGACCTTCATCGAGAGAAACGTAAGAAATAAACGTTACTACGATACATTGAAAAAAAAAGACCTGTATAAAGCAACAAAAAATGTTAAAAACAAGTTTCTACAAATACCTACGGAACAACGTGCACACTGACAACACACATATCTATTTTCCCCTCCACACAGAAGCATGCCAGCCTCAGTACTTCGAGACGACCCATCAAAACTTAACCTATCAGCACTGCTCTCCACCAAAGTGGGCGTTTCGACCGTAATTTCCAATCACTGTGACAAAGGGTATTCATTGCCATTCGGAATAGTTTGGGGAATAGTCGAAAGGCTGGTCCAACCGACCGCACTTTTAATCACTTTACGCTTTGAACGTTCCTGAATAAACGTCCACCGATATTGGCGGAAACCAGACGGCCGAAGGAGGGGCTTGCGCGTGGCAGAGTACGGTACTGATGTTAGTTAAGGGCTCCGCACGAACGGCGGCGCATGAGTCGGATTCCCGTCGAGACACGAGGAGGGTACTAGTATTTCCACGACGCTTCTACGTCCGTGACCCGTGGCGAAGTCGGCGCTCGATTACGATCGGATCAATACCAGCTGACTCGTTCGTCAGAATGTCGGTGTGCGTTCTGTTATTGCGTTTCTGAGGGCTGCCTCGTACCGAGTGTTCTCTCGCCATCAGTCGCGAATCGGTCCGTGTGTGCGGAGGCGATACGAGAGGCGGCCAGAGTACGAATTGCGGAACACGCGAGCACAGTTGAGAGGTAAATGCGCTATGCGCGTTGGAATGTAACGTGTGCGCGGTGGTGGTGAGGGTCGTGGTGTTTTGAAAGGACACGTTTACCCACGTGGAACACGGTGCCAGTTTTCGGCGTGACTCGGCAACTCGTCTGCGAGACGAAACGTATGCGGATGGGCGAGAAAGGGAAAGAAGAGTCTATGAGAGACGGGATGAGAAACAAAAGAGGACACTTGAGCCGACGTCGTAGCGGAGACAGAAGGAGGCAGACGGAGAGAGGTAGAGAGTGAGAGAGAGAGGGAGAGAAAGAGGAGAATAGAGACGGAAAAGGAGAGACGGAGATAGAAGGAGCGGGGAAAAGATAGAATAAAGACGCGAGGACGGCAGAAGTTGACTGTTGTTCGATCGCGAAAACACGTGGGGAGCGACGCGGGAGTTCCCCCGTGTCGACGAACGTTCTATTGCCCGCTAAACGGCAGGATTCGTCGCGGGAGAATCTCTCGTATCGTATCTTGACGATCGATCGTTTCTCGGCATGCGGCGAAGGTGCACGAGAAACGCTGGAAAACGGCATCCTGTCACACGAATATGCGCGAATGGTAAACGATGCTGCGCATGCGAGCGTGTAGAGTTTCATATGGTGGCGGTAGGTGCGTGGCTCGTTTCTCTCGCGGCCCGGGGGCCCTGTCGGTGACCGGAAAACAAACGGCCGAGGTCGGGGCCGAAGTCCTCCGTGCAAAACGCGCACGCTGGACACGCGCAACAACCGATGAAACAAACAAATGCCCTATACAGTATGGAGCCGTGTGTTGTGTGTCTGACGCGACGCTTTTACCCTCTTGCGCTTGCCTCTGGCGCGTGACGTAATCCATTCAAGCGCTTACTACGCAATACGGGACGCGGGCAGCAGCAACAGTCTTTCTTTCTCTAGCACACGCTCTCTCTCGCTCTCCTTCTTTCTTTCTCCGACCTCTACCTTTCTCTTTTTCTAGCCCAACCGGTGCACTCGGTTCGTCCCTCTTCCTCGCACCCCCCTCCCACCCAACGAGCAACCCTTCTTTTTCTTATCACTCGATAATGGCGACGGGAAAGAAAACGGTCTCATGTCGTGCGTCGCAATTATAGTTTCCTACCGACCGGTTCCTCCTCCTTACGTCCACTCTTCGTGAAACTCCGTGTACGTGTCTCTCCCTACCTTTTGTCTCTGGCACGTGTCCCGACGTGTTCTCCGTTTTTCTCCGTCTCGAGTTTATCAGCCGTCGCGCACATATTCCGCCGTCCGGAAAATTCAACGGTCGCGCATTTCGGAACACGGAATTTCGCGCTAGTGTCCACCCTTTCTCTACCCCCTCCCTTCCAAAGTTCCCCTACCGGCCGTCGAGTTTTCTTTCTTAGCGCTGCAAGTGAATTACGCGTTCTCGCACGATCGAACGCGTCGAGTCGCGTTTGTTGTGTCGCGTATAGCACACGCGTGTCTTTGAACGCGTCGCGCGTGAATACCGTCGAGTTTACGGTGTCGCATTTAAAAAAGCAACCCGAGGCGTGCCAGTGACGATAACATGGTCGCCTTGAACGGTGTCTAGTGTACTCGTTCGGTTCGTCACGTTTGTTGTTCGCCGTGAATCCGTACCACTGTCGCGCGATTTAAACGGCCGTGCGATAAACCGTTTCGAAAATCCTATTTGCGGGAAATACTTAACGGCTGGACGGTGACCTCTGTTGGTACTGCGAGACGAAATTCTTTTCGGTTTCCGAACGTGTTCCATCGAGGTGCGTATCAACAACCTGTTCGAAGGTGGGATAAAGTAAACAAGCGGCGCGTGGACCGCGCAGAGGCTGCGGCGGTGGTGGTGTCTCGGTGCTTTAACCTTCGGGGAGTGGTTCTTTGTCTTTCCTTCCTCTTCGGCCGTTCTTTTATTTCACCGGGTCCGCGGTGCTAACTACGCATTAGAAGCGGCCACGAATCATCGCGTCTGTCGAAGGAGCGTGCGCGCGCGCACGTAGCCTTTGTCCTAAATAATTCGTGGCGCGCAGTGTCGGAAGGAAAAGGACGGAATTTCGTGGTGTATCGAGCAAACGCGTGTCTCTTATGAAATCTCCCGAAGCCTTGAGAAAGTTCCGGCTAAGCGACGACGTAGAAAAAGAGAATTAGCCTGTGGTCGCGTGTTTTGTAATCGGTCGCGTTACACGACACATCGATCCAACTACTTTCCTGCGCGCATATACACCTCTATATATATATACGTGCGTGTGTGTACGTGTAGAAATTGTTTACATACTTTTTCCTCACTTTACGCCTGTTTTCGTTATTTATGCACAGTGATTTTGGACTATCGGCATGCCGAGTAATGTGGGACACACGGCAGTGGTGCTCCGTTAGTGATTGTGTTATCGACGTGTCATCATCATCGTCATCATCGAGGACGAACGACGTGCATCCACTCTGCGGCCAGGAATGTACGTATCTATGAGACACGTAAGTATTGGCGCGTGAAAAGTTCGAGCACGTTCCTTAGCCGGTGATTCGAACGGTTTCCGCGATAATTGCGCGCAACAAGCGACCGTGTCCCATACCCGCTCCAATTGCGTGTCGGCCAAAGTGTGTCGAAGAGAATGTTATTTGTTCCCCGGCGTCTAGACACTGATTTTTTCCACCAAAGGTGCTTAGATAATCATTCCATTAAATATTTCGGTTGCGGGAATTAATTCCTTCGAGGTTAGTTTCGTATACGTATTTGGATGGGCAGCAGGATTTGAACTGCGTATGCGTGTGAGAAAAAGTCGATCACTAGAACGTGCGAAATAAATAGAACAAAATAGTAGTGGATCAGTGGATCAGCAGATAGAAGATTTTGTTTCCAGCTCAGTTGAATCGTATTTAATCGATTTTATCGGTATATACGACTATCTAAAATGGAAACTGGATTTTTCACTGTAGCTATAAGACGAGAGAATGGTAACTAGATTAATAAAAAAATTTGTTGAGACTGATTATACGTAGTTTAGGAGCAAGAATGTTATAGTACAATCTCGTCGAAAAGGAAGTAAAAAGTAGGTTAAGAGGCCTGAATAGAAATTTATCCTAATTTTTTCGCTTTTTTAAATAACGTTTTTCCGCAAGAAGGCAACGGGTTTCGTCAGGCACGAGATACATCTGTCACGTGCTGGCAAGGAAGCGTTGAATTCTAACCTTAAAACACTTGTATCGCGCGCGCGGTATCACGTGAACAATGTTTTGTCTCTGCTGCTCCGTGCCGACATGTTTTTTGCACGCGTGGAAGAAGTTCGCGCGCGCACACGCTATGCTCTACCACGTGTGCGTAGAAAACACATTGTGTATACTGCTTGCCGTGACATTCGATTAGTCGGAAGCGATTGAACGCAAATAAGCGAGCACCCGCGCGCGTGCGATTCGCGGAACGGGAGATGGCGGATGCGCGCCGAGCTTCGTAGCCCGAACTGCGTTCGTAAATCGTGGTAACGTTAATTACGCGTAAACAGACTGCGAACGATTAATCGAATAACCGACAGAACGATTGTTGCGGTAAACGAACGCTGGTAAACAAGATCCATTAATTAATCAATTATGCAACGAAATTATTACGGACGAGTGTGCACACTGATAACGGAGATCGTAAAATTTTAAACGAAAGATATTGAACGTGCGACTGCGTTAAATTAATGCTGCACGATAAATTACATTAAGTGCTCGTTCAATTTGGACGATTGGGAGGATAAAAGAATGGCGGTTCGCGCGTACGATTGTTAATCTCGTTAAATTGTTTATGGCACTCGTTTCGTTGCGCGGCGAGAAATGAAAAGACACGTGACCGTGCGTTAAAAAGCTAAACACGATTTACGAGAATCGTAACTGATCGAGAAAATATAGTGACGCAACGATACTCCGTGACTATGATTATCTTGGGGCTACAGCCGTCGGTAGGTAGAGCTATCTCGTAAACAAAATTCTTATCGCGAATCGTCCTACCGAGCACCGTATCCTAGCTGCCAGAATTCGATTCGAGCGCGAAACAAACATGGCCGACTAACCTGAAACGCGATCTATCACACGCGAATACAGCGGCCTGTGACGACAGGCCGGAGAGGGAAAAAGGCACGCGAAATTTCGGTCATCGGAAACAACACTGTGGCAAAATGGTTACGTAATCCGAAGATAATAGAGTGACTCGCCTGTTTGGCAAATGTTGCTGTCACGCCGCGTTCAGCCAAGCTCTTTCCCGTGTATTTTCGATTGTAAACACAAAACATGGACTTGAGTCGTTACGTCCGATCGTCCCCATTATCTCGGCCTCTGGTAATCGGTCTTTGGTCTAAAAATAACGGCGACGTGTTGCGAACGGTGAAAAAGAAACACAGGCGTACCAACTCGGCAGCGTCCCGGAACTCGATAACGATCGCGAGAAAAGCATCGTGACGGTGAGAACGAAAACGACGCGACGTAGTTGCTCCGCGTGCCTGTCACCGTCGCGTCGACGAGTCGATCTCGTTAGTATCGTAACTCGACACGCGTAGTGGGGGGCGCTATTTGGGTGGGTAACGTATAACGACTCCGTCGGTAAAACTATCGGACCGCAGGTGAAGACGATAAAGGTTCGTTTCTAACGGGAGACGCAGTAACGTTTACGTAACGCGAACTGATTCAAAGGATTTGACGCAACGATTGTGACACACGTAACGGATACCTTGCCGTGATAACGTTATCGCTGCCTCCGTGATGCAATTTCCTCGGCTTTCATTAATCTTAATCGCTTCGTTTCTTTTATGAATGAAAAATAAATATACAATGCGTCTCAAAAAATATTCCGTTCGTCTCTTATATTTATTTATATTATATATACATATAATATTTTTATGACGTGGATTTTATAACCGTTGATATATCGAATAAAGAAAAATTGTAGTTCCGAGAGTATGGTCGCGTTCTCATAGCTTCGCGACTTTGCTCCCAGTCTGTAGTACGTGTGGTATTCGCGTTATCAGGCGGCCGCCACTGGTAACGAACTAATCGGCTCGAAAACGAAAGTGGCGCAGTGGAAATATCCATTCGCCGTACTGTTCCGTGTTCGTCCGGTGGAAAAGTGGAAATTTCCTCGCATGGAGGCCGTGGCTGTAGCCGGTCATCTAAGGAGGCCGCGGTTTCCATGGAAAAGGAAATTGTGACGTTCAAGGACGGCGAAAATGGCGGTCAATTATCGTTGTGGCGCGCTCCGTATGATCAACGTCGCCGCGGGGTACTAGCAAGTTCGATTCGAATCGCTCTAATTCTTACCACACGAAACGCGTACTCGACGAATGAAAATGCTCGAACTTGACGGAATTATTAGAAGGATATATCGGTCTTCTTAGTACGCGTAAGATGGATCGAATTAAGGTAGAGTAGCTGTATGTAGGTCGGAAGCAATCGAGAGAGCCGTTTGGAATTTCGTGACGAATTGGTACAGGTGGAGAGAATTGAGGTCGCTTCGAGATCTGTCTGCAAGAGTAGAATCGAAATCGAGGAATTTTTTTTGGAATTCAATTCTCATGCTAACATCTTTCAAAAATTGTTTGAGGAATGTGACTCGAAAATGGATTTATTCCTAATTATAACAGGCCTGTGTTGACTTTCTTTAGTCTCCATATAGAAAACATAGTTCTTCGTGTACTAACTTCATTTGTTAGAAGTATATCTTATTAATTAGGAAAACATACAATTAGAATGAAGTTACGAGTAATGTACTCAATTTTTGACTATGGGTTAGTCAAAATACAGTGTCAAATGTGACTTGGACTGTGAAAAGTTAAAATTGGGCGTTCCTTTTTTGATGCACCCTGTATAAATGATCAAAGTACCTGTTTTCAAGATAGCCTTGAATTGGTATCTTTTATTTTATTTTCTTCTGTTTATCGCGATATCGAAGGTAAGGTACTTTTCTGAAGATTTTTCAGACAAAGGATGTCTCTTCGTCGTCCTATCCAAGAAACCGAGTGTGTAGAGCTGGCGAGAGCGACACGTTCTCTAGCCTGGCTGAGCATCGCAATGCGGAAAAACCGTGTAACGGTAAACACGTCTTATTTCGAACTCTTCTCAGACGCAACTGTTAAAGGAAAATCTACATTCCAGCGACTAAAAAACGAACGATCGAAATGCCCTTGGTATCTTTACCTATTTCTCGTGATTTTCGACGCAGGATACCTTCCTCATCTACTTTCCTCGTTCCACGTTGTTTTCATACTTTGCATACCGTCTGTTTCTGAAATAGATGGTCAGGCTTGAGGTACAGATTAAAGACAGTTGAAGACAAGAGGTGTACGACTCAAACAAATTCTTCAAGACTGGCAACCATTTCATTCTAGTAATTTTTATGTCGAAATTTGACATCAGAACTACACGGGGATCAAAATGTCTTGTTTGATTTGCTAAAAACATGCAGTTGCTTTTGGTCAGACTAATATTGTATACACATTCTGTTCTAATTACGTGTACCTTTTTTTTATTTTTATTACACCGGTTTAATTAGTATCGATGATGTACACGATGGTGGGCATCGGAATATAATTCTGGTGTTAAATCATGTTCCGTGATCAAAAACAACCGATATATTCCTAAAATGTATTCTCAGACCCAGTGCAACCCTCTCCCTTGTCCTAAACCCAAGCTCCCCGCCTATCTCTTCATCTACAGGTCAGAATGAATCAGACCGTGCGTCGTGGTTAAATAAAATCGACCGAAAAGGACACACACGTCACGAACACGTGGCCATATAAGCCCGAGAGAGGAATCTATTGGCTCGTAAACAACGTCTTGGACGTCCTCGAAGCGTTCTGTCGGTGCGTAAGACGCACGGGCTGAACGAAGAAGGAGAGACATAGATGGGGCCGTGATCTTCTGACACGCGCAATTTGGAACGGCGCAGAAGCGACGCGTGGGCCGTTACTGGAACTTCCTGAAAACATTTTCTCACGGTGCCGATTGCGCCACCACTTGGACGTCTCCGATCGGTCCCATAACCTAAAAGCTACATTGAAAATAGACCCGTGGATAGATCCAGCACGAGACAGTGCTGCCATCTTCTCTTCTTCTTACTTTACCGTCATTGTTCACGGAAATAGTACTAGAAGGTAGCAACAACCAAGATGGCTATTCCACTCGTAGCAACGATTTTGCCCGGGGACACGGAGCAATTTCCAAAAGTCATTAACCCCTGATACGGGAACATTTAACCGGCCTACTATTGTGAGGCCCGATGATCATTCAAATTGGCAGTCCGGTTATGTAGATGTACCCGCGTGTATTACTCGAAATCTTTTCCACGGGAGCGCGTCTGTCCTCTTTTGGATGCCGCCTGTTGCTCCTCTTTCTGGCCCCAGACGTGGTCTCACGGTGGGGGAAACGTCCTGAGTCGATCGTAAGATTTTTCTTCGTTCTTTTTATCGATTCTAACAGGTCGTTGTTTTGTT